CTTTTTACCACATAACTCCGTCCAGTCTTGGTAGAAGGCTGTTTTTATTAAAGAAAATATAGGATTTTCTGGAAAGAACTCTAATACACTGTAAACTCTTAAACTACTACATTATAAAGTTATTTGAATAAAATGTCACTAATTACTTATGAACTCACGAGCATTTGTAAAAATGCTGATACTCGCTTTTCAAATAACCTGTATTCTCAGGTTAGCATTAGACAGGTACATCCCCGGAGCTGTTGATTAAGATAGCTTAGTACCATGCTTTTCTTATTACATTTGTCTGTATTACTTTGATACCCTGTTATGTAAACTATGTAAAACTATTACTATTAATGCAGTGTTTTGTTGTACTTTGATTACTATAATGCATGTGTTGTGATACTTGACATGACGTCATCCACCCCAGAACGTTTCCGCCGTTCCGGTTTTGGGGTGTGACAGTATCTTGCGAGTCGGTTACACATTAATAATATGTAAAGGCACCAGTAACTTGGTGTCATAAAACATATTGTTGTGTGTGATTCGGTAAGTGAGTGCAAGTAAGCATTGGATCAAAGTTTATCCGTTCCTTTTATCCAAAGTAGGATGAAAGCGATATCTGTAGGCCCCTCGATGATTTAGTGATGACACCTAAGTGCTTGGCCAAGCCGGGACTAATTTGATGTGTTCGATTGTAGTCTGCTGTCCGTCGTCATAAATCGGAAATCGGGAAACAACACATAGACAGAGAGAATGATTTAAATCCATGTCTCAGTCTATACGATATCTAGAATGGAGGAATATATGATCCCTTATCTAAAGGACGCATATCTGATAAGATCAGAGTAGACAGCGACTTTTGAAAGCTACGATTGCAGATCATGATCTAAAGTCATACGCAGAATAGTTATTAGACTTATCCAAGTGGGAGACTGTTGGATTAGTGTCTAAGTTCATAACTATTTTGGTATGTACTTGACCCGATGGTGCATGGTCCTTTTGGGTTGTCTTCACCAAAGCAACTTGACAGGATGAATTATGGAGAGAGAGGATTAATTATGATTTATTAATATATTATGAGAATAATATAAGGAGAAATCATATTGTTTAATTAATTTAAGTCAAGAATTAACTAATAATTAATTTTGTGGCTAAAAGAGATTAATTAAACTTAATGGACTGGAACTGTAATTATAAGATAATTGCATTTGGGCTATGGATTACTTAATAAGATATAAGTTGGATGAATTCTATGGGGAAGCCCATTAGAAATCGTCCAAGGGATATACCAAAGGAATCCATGGGCTGCTTAGGGCTTAAGCAGTCAGATTAGGGTTTCCTAGTTTAAAACCCTAATAGCCTACATGTATATATAGTACCCTTAAGCCCCAAAAACGTGAATAAGAGTTTTCTTAGGTTTTGCACACGTTTTTGGGTGCCTCCTCTCTTATCATTCTTCATCCTCTTGCTCTTAGTGTTTGTGAGCCATTAGAGGAGTGACACTTGTGACTCTAAGCTTTTTAAAGCCATTACAAGGAGGATTTGAGTTGTTATTGCAATATAACAACAAGAGGTATGTAATCTAATCTTCTTGGTGAATTTCGAAAATAGTATGATTCATTAGGTTTATTTTGTGTTCATAAAGTTGTACAACTAATAGTGAAAACATAGATGCAACTTTAGGGTTGCATGCACACATATGATTGTTTGTATTAAACCCAACACATATAACATACATCGGGCTTGCCCCGACATCATACCAAAGCCCGGAACACATAACACATAGCATATAAATTAACATGCATCGGGCGTGCCCTGACATCGAACATAGGTCCGGAACACATAACACATAACATGCATGAATCACAAAGACATCAAGCATACATAAATACTTATCGGGACCGCCCCGACATCGGACCGAAGTTGGGAACGCAGCCTAACGTCGAAAGTCTTTAGGTAGATTCCTACTTTGCCAGCGGGCGGGGAAAAAATCATCGAGCCAGCTGCTGGAAATTCCACAACATCGATCAAAGAAAAGCCATAAGCATCACTAAGAATCTTACATTCAACATCAGAAAGAACAATGACAGACTGAGCAACCATTAGAACAAGAAGGAAGTAGATAAAACCCTAGGCGAAAAAAGAAGGAGAAATAAGAGGAAATATCCTCACCCTTATAAAGAATAAGGAAATGCAGGATATTTAAAATCCCAAACGCGATGACGTAACCGACTGTCATAATGGCAGTCACATCACTGGAAAAATTGAAACGACGATTGAATCAGAACTCAACGCGTGTACTAAGCAGTTAAGTCGAGAACATCATAATTAGTCTAGTAACGCTACGATTACTGGAATAGGGTAATTGATGACGTGCCCTCAACATGGACCGATATTCGCGCTCAGACACACCAGAGAACTCCCTAAGGCAGGTCACGCTTAATAGAACAAGCCCGACGGAACCTCGCGCTCGTGAACGCCCTAACCGTAGGGTGCCTGTGGAAAACGCTCGACCCCGCCAATGACTCCTTCTACTTTGCGACAAAGCGTAATGGCTCTAGACGACAAAGAGGCTGCTCAACGCATTACCACAAGAACTAATTGTTAGCTTTGATAGATCAAGGAGCACGATTGCCCAATCAGCATGCCCGATCCTGTCGGGTCTGATGTCATTTTCTTGTACGGACTATAAAAGGCCTTCTTCGGTACCGAAGAAAGTAAGTCGTTATCTCCCTGTTCACTCAGATAACCACCTAAGCCCGTCCACTGACTTGACCATCAGAGCGTTTTCCCGGGATCCCCTCTCGTAGAACGGCTGACGGTTCTACCCTGTTGTGACCTTGTAGGTTAACCAAAACGGATACAAGCAACAAAGATAAATGTCCGGTTGCCAGGTACCATAAATACCGATACTAATACTGAAAATCGATATCATTCCTGATACCAGTACCGATAATATTAATTCGGTACGATACTCAAGATTAACTTTCGATCAAATTCGGTATTCGTGAAATCATAAAATGGTACCGGTTCCGTCCCACGCTCATCCTTACTACAAATACAAAAATAAACATGGTAAACACAATGATTTCTCTTAATGACACATACTACGAAAAAAGCTCATTTCGTGTAAAATCATACCGTATTTTGCTTGTAAGTCCTTCAAGCTCAGATATTTTTCATGCACAGTCCATTTTGAGAGAACCATTGTCCATTCCTTCTAAATAAACCATAAAACCCAATTTTTGCTCTTATACGTGAATGCTTGGATGAATAAGATGATATGTGTTTTCTTGGGAGAGGGACAAGGTTAGGAGTTGACGTAAAGATGATCGGATGCCATTATCATTTCCCTCATTTAATCAGAGGTTACAAATGAAATGATGGAAATGCCATCCTATTATTTTAATCAAATTGGAGTAGTTAAAAGCTAAAACCTGGCGGAGTGAGCAAAAAGGTTTGTTTGTTAAAAGTTTTGAAACCATAAAGACAATCTATAATGTTTTTTAAACTTAGAGACCATATCCCGTATCTCTGAAAACCATGATGACCATTTATGAGGTTTTTTCAATTGTTTTTTTATAATTGCTATGTATCATAATCAACAAATCAATGAAATGACACATTACAATAGAAAAAAGTTGTTTGATTTCTAGAATGAATAAAATTGAATATTTTTATGCAATGTGGTTCATTATAATGAACCAACTTTTTTTATTTTATGAAATATAAAATCGTCATTCTTTTAGAGAACTTCCAAAATCATTTCATGTCTCATTTATTCTATATGTTAATCTATCTCTAGTAAGTGACATCTATCATAGTCCATGAGTCAGTGAAACGACACATTACAATAGAAAAAATTTGTTTGATTGCTAGAATGAATAAAATTGAGCATTCTCACATAATGTGATTCATTATAAGGAACTTATTTTTTATTTTATGAAATAAAAATTTTCATTCTTTTAGAGAGCTTCCAAATAATTGTCTCATGTTTTTTAAATTTTCCATGTTAAACTTTCTCTAATAATTGTCATATATCGTAATGGACGAGTCAGTAAAATGACACATTACAATAGAAAAAAGAAAGTTTGTTCGATTGTTAAAATGAATAAAATCGAGCATTCTCATGGAATCTTATTCGTTTCTAACGAACTAATTTTTTATTTTGTGACATAAAAATCATCGTGCTTTTGGAAAACTTCCCAAATAATTTCATTCTCCTGTATTTGATATGTTAGATTATCTCTTATAATTGTCAGATATCATAATCAACAAGTCAATTAAACAACATATTACAATAGAGTATTATTTTGATTACTAGAATGAATAAGATTGAGCATTCTCATGAAATGTGATTCTTTATAATGAACCAATTTTTTATTTTATGAAATGGAAATCGATATTCTTTTGGAGAACTTTCAAAATAATTTCATGTCTAATGTATTTTAGATGTTAAACTATCTAATCATTGTCTAAGTATCATAATTGATAAGTTAATGAAATGACATGTTACAAACTTACAATAAAAATTTGTTTGACTCCTAGAATGAATAAAATCAAGCATTAGAATGTGATTCATTGTAGTGATTTGTTTTTATTTTTTATTTTATTTTTTTTTATATTTTATTTTTTATAAAATGAAAATCGTCATTCTTTTAGAGAATTTCGAAAATAATTCCATGTCTATTTTTATATGTTAAACTATCTTCATTATTTATTTATTTATATTTTTGATTGTGCGGTGTTTTTTCTCATTCTTTTGGTAATTAAATGATATATATTTATAATTATAAGTTATTGCTATTTATTATATAATTTTTAATACTATTAAGTTTTTTCAAAACTTCAAAACTTCAGTTAATGAGATGGGAAATTATGGTGACCCGGGTCGAGAATTAGGATCATACTATCTGTATGTTTGCGTTTATTGCGTACCAAACTTGTCTAAAAAAGATTTAAAGCTTTTGGTATAGTAGAAAAAAAAAAAAAAACTAAAATACTTACTATACTAATGAAAAAAAAAAAAAGAGATAGATATCTTATTGAAACAAAAGTTGATAACCAGACCATGGCCCAACCCATGGTACGTAATTATATTATGACCCGACCCAATTTCAGTCAGTTATTGTCCCTACGATGCGATTTTACTTCATCCGACGGTCAAAATTTGTCGGTTTAGAGTTTAAAAGGGGGAGATCTCTACATTTTCTCCATCTTCGCAAGTCTAGGTCTAAATCGGATTTGGGGAAAATTCGCTAAGGTTCGTTCATATCTCTGATTCTTCATTTACTCACTAAAACACGAAATTAATTTTATGAAAATTTCGATTCATCTTGAGAATTTTTATTTAACGAATCGATACGTGAGTACAGTAATTTCTGGAAATGTTCTTGCGTGAGTGAATTTTATCCAAATGTAACGAAACAAGCAAATAAGTTATGTATATGTCTTTTATCGATATTAATTTTGGGGTAATTCATGAAGGGTTTCGTAGTTAGGTGGATAGAAGGAATTCACGACGATATGTTTTAGGAACAGTAATCTTAGTGTTTGGTAGGAGATGCAGTAGAATCAGTTGATAATATAGAATAAAATCATACATGATTTCAATTTTGAGCCTAAAATTTATTGCTTGTGAAAGATGATTTGGTTTTCAGGCGGCCTCCCAGTCGTAGATGAACTCGATGCGCATAACACTTTATGCGTGGTTAGGTCTCTTTAGCGAAAGTTCTCTTATTGAGCAACCCTAGCATTCTATTTTGTATTTGGGGAAGTGTGTGCAAAGTAGCAAGTGTAAATCGTTCTGATCGCACTAATTTGAGTATCGTGCTTTGAATCATATCTATAATTCTATATATAGTTCTGTTCATCCGTCATTACATTTTTCATGTGTATCAGGAACTCTTTTTATTAATGATTCCATCTTCTGTTTGTAATCCTGCTCATCTATAATTGTTTATGATTATATTGTAATCCATGGAGGCTTTATATACCTTAACAGAGCAGTTATCTTTTCAGGTTGAATATGCCTCGCTATGATGATCGATATGGTACAACTCGCTTATATGTTGGTCGTTTGTCTTCACGGACACGCTCTCGTGATTTGGAGTACCTCTTCAGCAAATATGGAAGGTAAGTGTGCATTTTGATCCCAAAACTATTTCTTTTTGGTGTTACTATATGTTCCCATACATGATCATGCATTTATGGAATAGATGGTTTTGGCTGAAATTAGCAGTCTTTTTGGTTATATGTGTATCTAGATGCTTAAACCTTTAGGTTTTAGGAAAAAGAAAAGTTTAGCTGTGGCAGTGGGTTATGGTGAGTTTTCCATTAGAGTGTTGGAAAATGGGGAATGAATGAAAACTGAAAGAGAGGTGATTATGTATGGAAATGCAAGGGGCATTGTGATTGTACCTGTAGGTAGTATGTGATTTAACTTGAATGAATTTGTTGAAGGTTTTCGGGCTTTTGCCTGACCTGGACTGGAGGTCAATGGTGATTGGTGGAAAAATGGTGGGAAGTCTTGCCGAGTGTTATAGGAGACAGACTTTTGGCGAATACTTTCCCTCTCTCCCTCTCTGTAGTCTTAGTTCCTGTTTTTATGAAATTGGCAACATTCCAATCCAAATTCCAAACTGGTGTTTAGTTGGTCTTGAAGGGCGATGTGATGTATGATGCACTCTCTTCCTGTCCTTAAGTAATGATGCCCTTACTGTTTATGGAAACCGTTTACGCAGAGTACGAGATGTGGATATGAAGCACGACTTTGCCTTTGTTGTATGTACCCCTCTTCCTTCTCTCTTCTTTCTCTTCCAAATTCACTTATATTCTTTTTATCACGTGATTATGTGTTTCTCTGGGGTTTTCTTCCCTTTCTCTCTTCTTTCTTGATTTCAAAACAACAGGAGTTCAGTGACCCTCGGGATGCTGATGATGCAAGATACAGCTTAAATGGTAGAGACTTAAATGGGAGTCGGCTGCTTGTGGAATTCGCCAAGGGCGTAAGTAGTAACTGTTATAATTTTGTAAAATTACAAATCTACCCTTTTTTTGGTTTTAAAATTTTACATTTTCCGGTTTCAGACTCCACGGGGCCCGGGCGGTTCGAGAGAATACGTAGGGAGAGGCCCTCCGCCAGGGTCAGGGCGGTGTTTCAACTGCGGGCTTGATGGTCACTGGGCCCGCGACTGCAAAGCGGGTGACTGGAAGAATAAATGTTATCGATGTGGTGAAAGGGGCCACATTGAAAGGAACTGCCAAAACAGCCCTAAAAAACTCAAGTTTGTTTTCCTTCATATCTCATTTATTGAATGCTATTTTTTATTTAAATTTATATATATTTTTTAATTTATATATTATTTGTTTTACAGACGTGGCAGGAGCTACTCGAGATCACCGGTCAGATCACGGTCTCCCCGCCGTCGCCGGAACCGCAGTCCAAGTTACAGCCGAAGCCCCAGTTACAGGTAAGTAAAGTTGATTGAAGGACCAAAATTGGCAAAATCAGTTATACTGGGGGACCAAACATGTGATTTGTTTATTTTTGGTAGAAGTCGTTCCAGGTCACCTCCTCAAAAGAAAGAGCGCGTGGAAAGGAGGACAAAAAGCCCGCGTTACTCGAGGAGCAGGAGCAGGAGCAGGAGCCCTGAGCCATCTAAAAGAAGGAACCGTAGCCCAACACCGAATGAAGACCGAGTTAGCCCGTCTCCTGAACGAGTTAACTCGGAGTATAGCATGAGCCCACAGAGGGGAAAGAGCCAGAGTCCAGGTGGCAGCCCGTCTGAAGCCAATGGGCGTAGTAGGAGCCCTAGCCCGGTTGGTGATGTGGGTGGGGGTGAGGGTAGCCCAGTTGATGAAGAAGGTGAGGGTCCGGTTGTTGAAGGGAGTCCCAGCCCGGGTGAGGGTGAGGAAGAAAATCGAGAGGGTAGTGAGTAGTGAGTGATGAAATGTCTTTTGGTTTAAGCAAGACTTTTGAAAAACTACTACATTATGTTTTTTCTTGTTGAGAAATATGACTTGAATGTTGTTCAGACTTATACCTTTTACAACCCAGTGCCCTTAACTGAAACTATGATTTTTTTTAACCTTTGAACATGTTTTGGAATGATATTTTTACCTTTTCTATTTGTTTGCTATGTGTAATTATTGGTTAACAGGTCATATGGTTCGTTTGTGGAAGATGTAGACCAAGTAGGGGCTCGTAAAAGGTAGTTTTATTGACATTTTTAAATTTCGTAAATAACTTTTTTTTTTTTTTTATTTTAAATATATAAGTATATTAAATATGTAGCTATAAACATTATAATAATTAAACTAATAGTTTTCAACATATAGGGCATTGGTTTCACTGTTAGGTTGTGTTGGTGCGTTACAATTAACTTATTTTTTAAGTTTTATTAACTTGTAATATTGTAAAATTAACTTTTATTAGGTTGTAATGTTTGGAAAAGTAAAACCTAGCTTATAAGCTATTAAAAAACTATTTAAACTTGTTTCTAGAAGTTTTTTTGTTTATAAATATTTTTTACACATTTTTAATTTAATTGTCAAAAACTCATCCTAAATATCATTTTATATCTTCTAGATAGATTATCAATTAATTTTTACTAAACATCATTTTTTAGGCTAATATTTAGATTTTCAGTTATTAAGCCAAACATTACCTTAGTTTTTTTTTTTTTTTTTTTTTTTTTATTTTATTTTATTTTTTATATTTTATTATTATTATTTTTTTTAAAGTTGGATGACAACTAGTACTTTTTCTAACCGTAATGTTATTTTCAGCCTAGGCTTAATAGAAAAAATAATCCAAATTAATTAGACTTAGAAATATCGCTCCAAGTACTACAGTTTGATATACATTTTGTGAGTAAAAAGGTATTTAGAAAAATGAAGACAATTAAAGTAAAATTTATTTAAAATAGGTGAAATTAGTCAAAAGTCGTCTAAATATTGTTTTCAGTGGTCTGGTTTCCTAAATTGTTTCATTTAAAATATTAGATTAGACATTTAAAATATTTGACAAAATATGTTTGACATCAACATGACAACTAATTTTTTTGTTTCCTTCATGCCATCCAACCCACCCAACCAATTGTGCCACTTTTAAATTCTAATAATTAGTATAAGAGTTCCAGCATTCTCTATCAGGATTATGCATTTAATAACAAATTTTCTTATAGAATATACAGTAGTATTACAATAACAGAATTTCATTTTCTATTTGTTCAAATCAATTCATTCCCTCTTGCAGTATAAAGAAACTACTATTATCAATCACATCATAATACCATCCATATACCCACTCTTTCAGTACAAAAATGCTCTCAACTGCTTTCTTTCTTTCTTTCTTTCATATACACGTAAAGGTAAATCAAACATTTGTTAAATTGAATCACTAAGAGGACCAAGACCTAAATCATCTTCTATATCATCTTCTTCTTCAAACAGTTTCAAAAACCTCGCCTGTTCTTGCTGTCTTTTCCTCTTCAACCAATACTTATATGCCACAAATACTCCCATCATCAATAAAATCGAACCCACAATACTCGCAACTATAATCACTATATACCATTGCACCCCATGTCCTTCATTATGATGATGCGAATCACCATCTAAGTTATCAACTGCACCTATACCTCAATCATCAAAATATTTTTACATAAAATCAATTTCATGATTTAAACTCAAGTTAACATACCTCTTTTCACGCATTCATCACACAAGAATGTGGCATTGAATTCCTTGTCTTTGGAGTGAATGTATATACCATTTGGGGATGTAAAATCAGAAGGGCAGAATTCCCATTCATCAAACACATCATCGAATTTGATGCGATCCTTTTCATAGAACCCACATCTCTTGCATTTTTTACTTGTGAAATTCGTGAGAGGCTGGAAATGTTGAGGAAAGTTATCAATGGAAGTTGTGAAGCAGTGAGAAAAGATATGATTGTTGGTTGTATACCTGGAAAGATTCTTCACCTTTAAAATGATACACTGCGTGTGCCTTCTTCACATCTGGAAGAACTGTCTTCTTCTCCTCGTTACATTTAAAGTAGACTGTGGGTGTTGATGTTAGCCATTCATGGGTTGTGTATATTTCAAGAGAATCGAGTGTAACAACTGCTGACAATAAGAGTTCTGCAAACAGAAAAGGGAAATCATATTGGTGTATTGATCGTTTGATTGGTTCCTAACAGTTTGAACCAAGATTTCATTTTGTTATGCGATTTATGATTTAAATCAGAAGCTCAATTTCCTATATAGAAATTGTCGATAACCAATAATATACTCACCACCTCATTCAGATAGAGAATCATAAACAGCTAAAGATGATTTATTCATGAACGATTTTCAATCTGATAATCAGTACTCAAGTACAGTAATTATCGAGAAGAATTTACCTGGAAAACAGAAAAGAAAAATAATCGAAACCCTAGAATTCCAACGACTCGCCATTGACGTGATGGAACAAATCAATCGGTCATTGAGAATCTAAACTTTTTAGGAGGAATAGTTAAACAGATCAATTGCTTCGTCTTAACGGAGGCGATGGTGGCGTGTCTTGCTCCGGCAGCGACAGAGAAGGGAAGATTCGCGCGTGATTCAATATTTGTAGTGATGGGTCCGTCAATTTACGTCGAAGGTGCAGTTTAGATCAAGAGTATGCTGTTAACCGACTTTATTAGGTTAGTTGATTGTTTGATATCATATAATACAAAAAACAATATTAAACAAGATAAGTTAATTGAAGACTAAATTACATAAACACTACTCTGATTTATACAATAAATAAATAAATAAATACTTCAAGATAAGTTAATTGAAGACTAAATTCCTAAATAGTCTTTTGATTTATAAAAAAAATTCACAAATTTAATTCCTAACTTCTTTATGGTCAATGTCATTATAAAAATTTACACTAGTCGTTCTTATAGCTCACTCCATTTGATTTTTGCCGTTTAGTGTAAAATTATAGCCCACTCCATTTGATTTTTGCAGTTTGGTGTAAATTATCGCTCACTCCATTTGATTTTTGCCGTTACGTGTAAATATGTGTCCATCATGTGAAGGTAGTTTTGACACGTCTTAAATGATAAATTAGACAAAGATTTGCACAATCAATCCCTAAACTATTATTGTTTATCGCCCCTAAGAAACCATGTAGGATGTTGGGGAATAAAATAGGGTGATGGCGGAGAACCGGATTCCTAATACATCGTTAGTGGCAGAACCAGAAATTTTGATACGGGGTACAAACATTGTCAATATATTATATATAGTTATCCAATGTAAGACATTAAAAAAATGTTATAATCCATTTAGTTGGGGGTACAATAACATGAAAAATATTTACAAATAATATTATATATATATATATATATATATATATATATATATATATATATATATATATATATATATATATATATATATATAACAATTTTTTGGCGGAACCAGAATTTTTTTGGGGGTACTGTAGTTCACTTTGTGAACCAATATTTTCATCATATGTCTGTGTTATAAGAAATTCAGTATAAGATAATTTAAAATGACATTTGTATATCTATGAGTGTCAATTGATGACTAGACACGACAAAATACAGGACACAAAATGAAACTAAAATTCGGATTTGTGTTCGTGTCAAATGTAAAAAGCACGACGCTGTGTCGTGTCGTGTTCAAAATTCGATACGAAATTAACATGATTTAACATTTATCTGTTGTGTTTTTTCGTGTTTGTCGTGTTATGTATGATTAAGTATTAATTAAATAAACTAATTGTTATATTTTGTTATCTTGGCCGTGTCGTGTTTGTCGACTTTTAATTTATCTGTTTCCGTGTTAGTTACAAAAACACAACATTGTGACGTGTCGTGTCAGACAAAACACGACACGATAACCCAATTTACCATCCCTATGTGTATCTAGGCACATAAACACAATCTAAATTGTCATACGAATTTTGAGATTGTAGTAGAATAAAGAGAGCTCATAAGGGTTCCGTACGACTCAAAAGAGGAGCCATATATATATGCATGACAAATTTGAGTTTTTATATTTTAAATTAGTTACGAGAATCTCGAAATTAATGGTTTTCAAATCTGACAAGATTTGTCAATCTTACCATATTCACCCATTAGAATTCAGTTTTCCCATCATGAAGCTAATTCAAATTTCCGAACACTTTTTGGGGCGCTGCCCCTAGGACCCTGCAAGGGGGCGTGACCTCCTTGACCTTCGCCATTCTATTGTACCGACTTATATTTGATATTATATGCATGCATTCCACATCCACTGAACATACAATATATAGTACAAATAAGAAGCCCCTTACTTAGCTCACATTTCAGTTCTGGTTACCCAAAATATAACATCCCAAAAATTACGACAAAAAAATTCATTTTTAAATAAACAATTACAAAACCATTTGTCTGAAAACAATCATAGTATCAACTTATATTGAATCCAAAGTATCAATAGTCAAAATATGTCATGATAAAACAACATCAGAGTAACAATCCCAAAGATCTCCAGTGCGGAAAATATACTGTGATACGCTACGATCATGTCGACTCCTTTCCATTCGAAGAGGAAGTACCTGAAACCAAAACTGAAAACCGTAAGCACAAAGCTTAGTGAGTTCCCTCATCGTACCACATACCATACAATTGTTGGATTAGGTGTCTAAGCCCATAACTATAATTGGTATTTACTTGACCCGATAGTAGCATGGTCCTTTTGGGTTGCCTTCACCATAGCAACTCGACTGGATGAATTATGAAGAAAGAGGTTAACTGTGATTTATTAATATATTACAATAATAATATATTAATTGAGAAATCATATTATTTAATTAATGTTGGTCAATAATTAATTTGGAATTAATTTAGTGATCAAAAGAGATTAATTAAATTAAAGGGACTAATATTGTAACTATAAGATAATTGCAAAGTTGGGCTTGTGGATCCCGAAGGAAGGGCTGGACGAACTTTATGTGGAAGCCCACATAAAAATCGTCCATAGGGGCCTTTTGGAAGGATCTTGTGGACTACTTAAGGCCTGAGCAATCAGATTAGGGTTTTGACTGAAACCCTAGCAACTCATCTATATAAGGAACCC